TACAAATAAGTATATATATTTAATAAATATATATATATATTTACAACACATACATAGGTAAATATATACCTAACGAACCGGCTTTTTCTTTTAAATTTATTATTTATATACACAAAATCAATTTTGTTTTAGTCTCGTTTAATTTTATCTACTCACACTTTTTAAGTCTTGTTTTTCTAGTACAAAAGAAAATTAAATTAATTTTCTTTATAATCTTTTAATTTTAAACACAAATTTTAATATAATTAATAATTATTTATTCCTTTTTTTTATTAAAATTTTGTAACTCTCTGTTTGTTGTACAACCGTTCGCTGCGAATTGATTTTATCAACTGTTTTTTTGTTGAAGTTTCTCTAGCAGTGTTGCCACAACTCTTAAAAACAAATTTCTGAAAAAGTAACCAAAATGGAAAAAAGTAACCATGACTAAAATATATTAAAATGATACAAATTATTATATAGCTTTCATAAAAATGTTAATTTTGAAATTGTAACTTAGTAACTTATAATAAAAAGAGTACTTTTTTATTTTTTTTACTAGACTATGGTCTGGACTATAGCCTAGTCTACAGTCTGGACTATAGTCTAGTCTAAAGTAAGGACTATAGTCTAGTCTAAAGTCTGGACTATAATCTAGTCTATAGTCTGGACTATAATCTAGTCTATATTCTGCAATATAGTCTAGTCTAAACTATAGTCCAGATTATAGACTAGACTATAGAGTAGACTATAGACGAGATTATAGTCCAGACTTTAGACTAGACTATAGTCCATACTTTAGACTAGTTATAGTACAGACTATAGACTAGTTTATAGTCCAGACTTTAGACTAGTCTATAGACTAGACTATAGACTAGACTATAGACTAGACTATAGACTAGACTATAGACTAGACTATAGACTAGACTATAGACTAGACTATAGACTAGACTATAGACTAGACTATAGACTAGACTATAGACTAGACTATAGACTAGACTATAGACTAGACTATAGACAGACTATAGACTAGACTATAGACTAGACTATAGACTAGACTATAGACTAGACTATATACTAGACTATAGACTAGACTATAGACTAGACTATGATAGACTAAGACTAGAACTAAGACTAGACACTAGACTATAGACTAGACTATAGACTAGACTATAGACTAGACTATAGACTAGACTATAGACTAGACTATAGACTAGACTATAGACTAGACTATAGACTAGACTATAGACTAGACTATAGACTAGACTATAGACTAGACTATAGACTAGACTATAGACTAGACGATAGACTAGACTATAGACTAGACTATAGACTAGACGATAGACTAGACTATAGACTAGACTATAGACTAGACTATAGACTAGACTATAGACTAGACTATAGACTAGACTATAGACTAAACTATAGACTAGACTATAGACTAGACTATAGACTAGACTATAGACTAGACTATAGACTAGACTATAGACTAGACTATAGACTAGACTATAGACTAGACTATAGACTAGACTATAGACTAGACTATAGACTAGCCTATAGACTGACGTATAGACCAGACTAGACTATAGACCAGACTAGACTATAGTCCATACTACTGGACTATTGTCTAGTCTAAGTATCCAATTTTACTATTGTTAAAGTTTACTTATGAAATGCTTGCAATAAAAATAAAAGATTACTGAATTCCACCATGAAAAACTATTTACCACACACTGTCTTTATTGAATACATTATATGACAATACACAGCTTTATCGACTACTGCTTTATCATTGTTTTTCAGTGTGTTATAGGTAATGAAATTGGTAACCGATAAAGCAGTTATATATTTTTTTAAAGTTGGCAATAGAAATACATTTTGTTAATAATAAACAAAATAGTCATTGTATGTGCACAGTAGTTAAAAATTAAGAATAATAATTAAAATAATATCAAAAATAATTAAAAATGGTCAGTAACTATTAAAAAATTATAAATAAAAAAATATTTTGGGTTTCTGTTGATATGTTTGCTATCACTGACTTGTAATAGAATATTAACGACAGCAGTTGTAAGAGATTACAAATTATAAATATGGAGTTTGTCTACAATAGTAATGGATGTTGTCTTAACTAAATTCGTGTCGATAATTCAAATGTGAATTGATTTTATCTAGACTGAATGATAAGTAGTAAAAAAATTTTGTGATCATGAGGTTCACTTTGTACTTAACAAAACTTTCTTTCAACGCTTGTAAACTTTTATTAAAGCTAAAGAAAGCGTTAAGAAAAGATTCTAGTCTATAATATGGACTCTTGTTTGTAGTCTGTAGTTTAGCCTATAGTAAGACCTATATTCAAGTTAATAGTCTGGACTATAATCTTGACTATATTTAGTTTGGTATTATGTTATTTGAAGATATTAATGCATAATCATCCAAAACTTTCTTAACGAATAATTTTAATGAAATTTTCATTTCTTTATTATTAAGAAATAAAATTTTAATTTTTTGTTTGTTTTGCATTGTGTACAATTAAATAAAATATATAATTATATACATATGGTAAATAAAGCGACAATAATAAAAAAACATAATAAATTATAAATTTCAATATTGGCACAACAACAAAAAAACCAAAACGCTCCTTAATTTTCAAACGTAATTTCAAATATAACTTTCAGACTGTACTAAATTGTAATTTATTAAAAAAGAGACAGTAAGTACAAAAAAAAAAAAAATAAAATAATGACAGACAGGCCTTTTTTTGTTAAAATAATTTATAATTATTGTATAATTTGTAAAAATTATATAGTATGTACTATATAATTGTTGTTTTTGATGTTGTGTTTATTAATGTTTGAAAAATATACATAATAAATTTATTTATTATGCCAGAAAAATTGTATATGGGTTAATATTAATTTTCATTACAAAATTGCGTAAACAGTGTAATAAATTATTAATTAATAATGTTTTTTAAATATGCAAATTTGTATTGTGCTAAACAACATGTGCTTAGGTAAAATAATTAAATTTTTTTTAATTTCGTTAAATATTAAATTGATTTTCATTTGTCCTTGAGACAAAACCAATGAAATATATTTATTTAATAAAAACTTGTAAATCGACCAGAACGTGAAGACTTAAAATTTGGGGAACGGTACTTTTTAATGTTACAGTTTTTTCGTCTTTTCTAGTCCATAGTCTAGTCTATAGTCTAGTCTATAGTCTAGTCCATAGTCTAGTCTATAGTCTAGTCTATAGTCTAGTCTATAGTCTAGTCTATAGTCTAGTCTATAGTCTAGTCTATAGTCTAGTCTATAGTCTAGTCTATAGTCTAGTCTATAGTCTAGTCTATAGTCTAGTCTATAGTTTAGTCTATAGTCTAGTCTATAGTTTAGTCTATAGTCTAGTCTATAGTCTAGTCTATAGTCTAGTCTATAGTCTAGTCTATAGTCTAGTCTATAGTCTAGTCTATAGTCTAGTCTATAGTCTAGTCTATAGTCTAGTCTATAGTCTAGTCTATAGTCTAGTCTATAGTCTAGTCTATAGTCTAGTCTATAGTCTAGTCTATAGTCTAGTCTATAGTCTAGTCTATAGTCTAGTCTATAGTCTAGTCTATAGTCTAGTCTATAGTCTAGTCTATAGTCTAGTCTATAGTCTAGTCTATAGTCTAGTCTATAGTCTAGTCTATAGTCTAGTCTATAGTCTAGTCTATAGTCTAGTCTAGTCTAGTCTATAGTCTATAGTCTATAGTCTAGTCTATAGTCTAATCTATAGTCTAGTCTATAGTCTAGTCTATAGTCTAGTCTATAGTCTAATCTATAGTCCAGTCTATAGTCTAGTCTATAGTCTAGTCTATAGTCTAGTCTATAGTCTAGTCTATAGTCTAGTCTATAGTCTAGTCTATAGTCTAGTCTATAGTCTAGTCTATAGTCTAGTCTATAGTCTAGTCTATAGTCTAGTCTATAGTCTAGTCTATAGTCTAGTCTATAGTCTAGTCTATAGTCTAGTCTAGTCTAGTCTATAGTCTAGTCTATAGTCTAGTCTATAGTCTAGTCTATAGTCTAGTCTATAGTCTAGTCTATAGTCTAGTCTATAGTCTAGTCTATAGTCTAGTCTATAGTCTAGTCTATAGTCTAGTCTATAGTCTAGTCTATAGTCTAGTCTATAGTCTAGTCTATAGTCTAGTCTATAGTCTAGTCTATAGTCTAGTCTATAGTCTAGTCTATAGTCTAGTCTATAGTCTAGTCTATAGTCTAGTCTATAGTCTAGTCTATAGTCTAGTCTATAGTCTAGTCTATAGTCTAGTCTATAGTCTAGTCTATAGTCTAGTCTATAGTCTAGTCTATAGTCTAGTCTATAGTCTAGTCTATAGTCTAGTCTATAGTCTAGTCTATAGTCTAGTCTATAGTCTAGTCTATAGTCTAGTCTATAGTCTAGTCTATAGTCTAGTCTATAGTCTAGTCGATAGTCTAGTCGATAGTCTAGTCTGTAGTCTAGTCTATAGTCTAGTCTTTAGTCTATATTCTAGTCAGTACCCTAAACTCTAATCTAGTCTTTAGTCGAGTATATAGTCTGCTCTATATTCTAGTTCTAGTCAATAGCCTAGACCATAATCTAGTCTATAACAAAGTCTAGTCAATGGTCTAGTCAATAATCTGTTATATAGTCTAGTCTATGGTCTATGCAATAGTATATTATATAGTCTATCTTATATTATAGTCTAGTCTATAGTCTATTGGATAGTCTAGTCTATAGTCTATTGGATAGTCAAATCTATAGTTTAGTCTTAGGTCTAGACTATAGTTTTGTCTTAGATCTAGTCTATAGTATAGTTTATAGTCTACTTAATAGTCCTGTCTATAATTTAGTTTGTAGTCAAGTCTATAGTGCAGTCTATCCATAGTTTTGTCTATATTTTAGTCTTTAGTATATTCTATAGGTCTGCTGGTGGATCTAATGTCTAAAAATGTATCCCTAATTTAAATAAATTAAACAATTGTTTTGTTTTTCAAATGATTTATTTCATTCGTAAAAAATCTTTACAAAACTTAACTAAAATAAACGTATTTCATTGTAAATACAATAATAATAATAATAACTTAAATTAAAGCACACAATAAATAAAATTTAATAATAATTAAATAAGTTTTTTTATAATATGCAAAAATGTTTTTTTATATAAAAAAAATAATTAAATAGAAAAGAAATAAAAAAAATGTATGTAAATAAATCCATGAGATTGCAAAAAAAAATAAAACAGAAAATATGAATATAAATTATAAGTTAAATAAAATACAAAATAAAATAAAATTTTTAAATTAAATATCGTACACAGACAAAATCACAAGCACAGCCAAACAAAAACGCATACAATCTTAAAAAATTAATACACACACAAGCAAACATACAAAAAATAATTTAAAAAACTAAAACTTACAACAACTTTTTTAATAAAGCTAAAAAGAGTAGAAAACAGTTTTTCAATTCAAAATTCACAATTGAAAGAATTTAAAAAATTTAACTAAATTTTTAGTTAAATCTGTTTAGAGAAAATTCAAATTTAAACAATTACACACGAATACCGCCATAATGATAGACTATGGGCTGATGACGGCGACGACGACGTCTGGCATCCTCGTATGGTGGCAGCAATTCCTGCTGTTGTCTGGCTAAATTGGCCAAATATTGTTGTTTCAAAGCATTAATGGTGGCAATTTTACGATGCTTCTGCTGTTGATTGGCATTTGTATTGACTTTAATATCTTCATTACGACCATAAGTCACAGCACTGGTATACGCCTCCAAATCATCATCTTTAGCGGGTGCTCTATGTTGATCTTCTTCGACAGGTGAACCATCAGGCTTAACACGCACCACCGAGGGTCCAGTCAAATAGGTTTTATGGGCATTGACATCGAAAACATCTATCTGGGGATTATGGGCCATACTGGGTTGACCATAGGCTATATCCATATCCATGGCATATTGATGTTTATGTTCACTGCTTTCAAACATGGGATTTTTGGGATAATGATTTGCCGATGTTGTGCTATCGACAAATTTCGTTTTGGTGTTACTGGTATGAGGTTGCTGGTGTGTCATGATGACTATAGAGGTGGCTGGGGGAGTGGGTAAGGGTTTGCGTGTTGTTACCAAAGTCGAACTGGGATGATCTCTCATGATGGAGGTCCAGACTGGAAAATAGAAAACAGTAATTGTTTAAGACTTGAAAAAAAATAAACTTCAAAGATCTATAGACCTTTCCCAAAGAATTAGAAAATTCAGATTTCTATAAATTCATAATCTTAACTTACTTAATTGACTTGCACCCCTTTGATAGGGATCAAAGGCATCCAACTGGGCATCGTTAAAGGTCTGTAATTTTTCATAACCATAACTCAATAGATCACGTTTACATTGATTAACTGGTATGTTAGAGCTGGCCGTGGTTGCCTTACAATGTACACTCACTAATTGGGCAAAGGTAGAGTACAAATAAGACATCTGAAAGTGAAAGAAAAAGAAAATATAGTTTACTAAAAAGTCGATTACAAAATAAATGCTATAATTTGATTAAAACAATGGAGAGAACTATTGTATCGAATTGTGATTCCTGTTATAAAGGTCTTCGAAATACCTTTCATTTGATATAAATATTTTATATATAAAGAACTTAATATGCAAGTTTCATAATCTCATGCATTTACATATGGTCTGAATTTGCGAACTTAGACTGATCTATAGTCATGACTATAGACTGATCTATAGTCAAGACTATAGACTAATCTATAATCAAGACTATATACTGATCCATAGTCAAGACTATAGACTGAAATAAAGTCCAGACTATAGACTGAAATATAGTCAAGACTATAGATTGATCTATAGTCAAGACTATAGACTGATCTATAGTCAAGACTATAAACTGATCTATAGTCAAGACTATAGACTGATTTATAGTCAAGACTATAGACTAATCTATAGTCAAGACTATAGACTGATCTATAGTCAATACTATAGACTGATCTATAGTCAATACTGTAGACTGATCTATAGTTAAAACTATAGTCAAGACTATAGACTAATCTATAATCAAGACTATATACTGATCTATAGTCAAGACTATATACTAAACTATAGCCAAGACTATAGACTGAAATATAGTCAAGACTATAGACTGATCTATAGTCAAGACTATAGACTGATCTATAGTTAAGACTATACACTGATCTATAGTCAAGACTATAGACTGATTTATAGTCAAGACTATATACTAATCTATAGTTAAGACTATATACTAATATATAGTCAAGACTATAGACTGATCTATAGTCAAAACTGTAGACTGATCTATAGTTAAGACTATAGTCCAGACTATAGACTGATCTATAGTCAAGAATATAGACCGATCTATAGTCAAGACTATAGACCGATCTATAATGAAGACTATAGACCGATCTATAGTCAAGACTATAGACCGATCTATAGTCAAGACTTTAGACCGATCTATAGTCAAGACTATAGACCGATCTATAGTCAAGACTATAGACCGATCTATAGTCCAGACTATAAACCGATCTATAGTCCAGACTATAGGCTTATCTATAGTCAAGGCTATAGACTGATATATAGTCAAGACTATAGGCTGATCTATAGTCAAGGCGGTAGGCTGATCTATAGTCAAGACTATAGACTGATCTTTAGTCAAGACTATAGACTGATCTATAGTCCAGACTATGGACTGATTTATAGTCAAGACTATAGGTTGAACTATGATCTATAGTCCAGACTATATACTTATTTATAGTCATGACTATAGACTGATCTATATCTAAGACTCTAGATCGCTCTATAGTCAAGACTATAAACTGACCTATAGTCAAGACTGAAAACTGATCTATAGGTTAAAATAAATACTAATCTATAGTGAAGATTAAATACTGATCAATAGTCAAGACTATAGACTGATCTATCCCTAAGACTGTAGACTGATCTATAGATTAAAATAAATACTAATCTATAGTGAAGATTAAAGACTGATCAAGGCTATAGATTGGAGACTATACATATATTGATCTATAGTCAAGACTATAGACTGATCTATAGTCAAGACTATAGACTGATCTATAGTCAAGACTATAGACTGATCTATAATCAAGACTATAGACTGATCTATAGTCAAGATTATAGATTGAAGACTATAGATTGATCTATAGTCAAGACTATAGACTGATCTATAGTCAAGACTATAGACTGATCTATAGTCAAGAATATAGACTGAACTATAGTCAAGTATATAGACCGATCTATAGTCCAGATCTGTAGTCAAGTAGACTAATCAATAGTCAGGACCATAGACTGATCTACTGTTTAAAGTATAGACTAATCTATAGTGAAGAGTAAAAACAGATCTATAGGCAAGATTATAGATTGGTCTATTGTTAAGACTATAGACTGATCTTTAGTCAAGACTATAGACTGTTCTATAATCAAGAATATAGAATGATCTAAAATCACGACTGTAGACTGATCTGTAGTTCAGGCTATAGATTGATCTATAGTCCAGATTATTGACTATAACAGTCTATATATAGTCTATATATAGACTAATGTATAGTTAAACTGATCTACAATTAAGATATAAGCAAGTCATCATGTTGAAAGGTATAAAAACATGAGGAAAATATTTTTAATTTGTATTGCATCTTTAAACAATATACATAAATATATGAATATTTATGACTTTTTTTGCTGGGAATTGTATTTTTATTGCAAATATTTGTATATTTTTTTAATATTAGGTTAATAAGTTAAAAAGTTATGAGATAAAAGCATTTGTTACAAATTGAATACATATGTATGTATGTTGAAAACATTATGCATTTTCAAACATTTCCCTAAAGCAGGAAGTATTACGATAACTTTTCTCTTAATAAAGGTATTAAACCATTAAAATTTATCACTTGTTGAGAATATTAGTTTTGTGGATTTTGTAAAATCAACTTATAAATGTTTAATTAAATAACATGATTATGAAAAAAATAACTAAATTGTGTTTTTTGTTTTTATCTGAAGATTTAGTTATAAATTTTGTTTATGTATAATTATGTTAATTTTTATTATGTATATATTTTTGTTATTATAAACGTCATAGTTTCAAAATAAGCTAATTTAATATGCCAACTTTATAGGTGGTTTCGGCTTTTTTAGAAAATACCCCCTAATTAAGAAAAAATCCAAAAAATTACGTCTGTTTAGGAAATGTGTCATCATGTTTGTGTTTATTTTGCCAAAAATCTTTAACGTTTTTTTTGAAAAAAACCTACTTTTTATTATTATTACTCTGTTATATGTATTCTTGCATTATTTTAACTACTTTGGGATATTTTGTTTATATTATGATTCTGACGTTTTAGAAATTTTCAACACCGTTTACCTTTAGAGGTTTAGAAATGATTCTTCTCACGCAAAAGTTTATCAGTTCTTTTATTTTAAAATGTTTCTTAAATTATTAAATTTAAATTAACAAAACCAAAAACATTACAAAATTTCCAACAAAATGTGGAAACCCCACCTCTAGCTACATTTTGGAAATGGTGTTAAAACCCACAATCTATGCAAATAACACGCTCGGCTGCTTGCCTGTACAGCATACGAAATTTGTATTGAAAGTCATGATGATGATGATGATGATGATATCGTAGTGAATAAAACTCTAGCTTTTGTAAAAAGAACTCAACATATGAAATGCGTTGATACTTTTGTCTACGTCAAGTCAAACAAATTGGGCTTGGAAAGCTACTGAACCATAAATAGTGCATATTTAGGTGCTACTGCACGTTTTATTGTGTGTTTTTTTCCTACAAATTTATTGCATTAACTTCCATTCATACAAATATACAAGTCAAATATAACGTATTTAAGAATCCATTTATCAATTGTATTTGTACTACTGGAAAGAAAAAATAAGTAAGCTATCTCATAGAATTTGCATGGGCTACGTGTCTGAGGCAACGTTATAATGTTTGTAATTTGAATGTTGTTGAAATGTTGTTCCATAAATTTAATATGCGGATATAACTTCTATAAAAAGGCAAATATTTATATATATTATACTTATTCTTCTTTAGAGAATTTTAATAAATATTTTGGAAATATGTCACGAACATTTCATTTATTTACATACATATATGTGTATAAAAAGGAAATGAAGTAATAAATTGTTCTATTCCTCTCTAGAATAGCTTACAATTTCAGATGACTCAGTTCAAAAATATGGCTCATAATTATTAGAACTTCCCTGCGTAAAAAGTGCAGAATATAAGCTAGACTATAGTTCACACTAAAGACTAGGTTACACTCCAAACTATAGACCAGACTAAAGGCTAGACTATAGTCCAAACTAGGCAAGTCCATAGTACAAACTATAGGCTAGACTATAGTCCAAAATATAGGCTATAATAAAGTCCAAATTATAGGTCAGAATAAAGTTTATAATATAGTCCAGACCATAGGCTAGTATATAGCCTAGTATATATGTAGTACAGACTATAGAATAGACTAGACTACCTATAATCTATACTATATTCCAAACTATAGTCTATTCTATCGGCCAGAATAAAGTCTAGCCTATAGTCCAGACTATAGTCTAAGCTATAGCCTAGTCAATAGGCCAGTTTATAGCCTAGTCAATAGGCCGGACTATAGGCTAGTCTAAAGTCCAGACTATACTATTAAATAGATTAGACTAAACTATACACTAAACTAAATTGGACTAAACTATAGGCCAGACTGGACAATAACCCATACTATAGAAAATATTATAGAATAAAGTTTTTACACCAGACTATAGAGAGGATTTAACTATTGTCCAGACAATTAAATACGTAGATTATATAGACTAATCTACAGTCAATATTATAGACTGATCTATAGTCATGACTATAAAGGCTATAGGCTGATCATGACTATGGAATGATCTTTAGTGAAGACTATAGAATGATCTACAGTCAAGACTACAGAATTATCTATAAACAAGATTACTGAACATATAATGATCTATAGTCAAGACTATAGAACGATCTATAGTCAAGACTATACCCTTACTTTTTTTGCCAAGGCTTATCTATAATCAAGTATATAGACTGATCTCTAGTTAAGGCTGTTATAAACTGATCAAGACTATAGACTGAACTTTAGTTAAGACTATAGAATGATTAATAGTCAAAACTATAGAATGGTCTACAGTCAAAACAATAGAATGATCTATATTCAAGACTATAGATTAGTCTATAGTCAAGACTCTAGATAAGTCTATAGCTAAGACTCTAGATAAGTCTATAGTCAAGACTCTAGATAAGTCTATAGTCAAGACTATAGATTAGTCTATAGTCAAGACTATAGATTAGTCTATAGTCAAGACTATAGATTAGTCTATAGTCAAGACTATAGATTAGTCTATAGTCAAGACTATAGATTAGTCTATAGTCAAGACTATAGATTAG